CCCTAACCATTCCTCCCACCTCAAGCCCCACCCCCATCTCCTACCGATGAACCTCATCCCGCCTCCTTGACCTGTCCGTCCTCCCTGGACTGACCTATCCCCTCCCTAACTCCCCACCTACATTCAACTTCACTGGCTCCAACCCCGCCTCTTTGACCTGTCTGTCTCCTCTCCACCTATCTTCTCCTTTATCCATCTTCTATCAGCCTCCCCCCTCTCCCTATTTATTTCAGAATCCCCTTCCCCTCCCCCATTTCTGAAGAAAGGTCTCGACCCGAAACGTCAGCTTTCCTGCTCCTCTGATGCTGCTTGGACTGCTGTGTTCATCCAGCTCTACACCGTGTTATCTCAGATTCTCCAGCATCGGCAGTTCCTACTATCTCTGTAGCTTCTTAAGGTGTTTGGAGCCTCTCATGCACTTGTTTCGTTATCCAGAATAACTCCCCAAAATGCTTTCTTCCATATTTATTGGTCAAACAAAAATATTTACAGGTTAGCAACAGTGGACAAAACATAAATATGCTGATAATCATATAATATAATTATATAACCTAATTAAGGCTTGTTTGTGTTGTGGACGGTATGGTGATACTTCAGCTTTTCAATTTTTGTCTTTTGCTCAACTTTAAGAAGTTGGGGTGAAATTGTAAGATATTTTATTTACAATGCTACATGGTCTATTTTCATTGCAGTCCTTTTTTTCTTGTTCTTCCTGTTACAGGGGAGGCTACATAAGATGCTGCAAAATTTGTTATCCACTATGTGCATTTGTTATGCTCGCTGCTTGTGTAGTGGCATGCGTTGGTTTGGTCTGGATGCAAGTTGCCCTCAAAGAAGATCTGGATGCACTGAAGGAAAAGTTCAGAACTTGTAAGTATGGTATATTGTAAGGTAGAATATTACAACTTCTTTGCAGGGGACGGTGTATTCTATGCAGCTTTAAAGTTTTTGGTAGGTTTGTATTTGGTATAGGGAGAAAACTTGTTTGGAGAATAGAACTTATGTGCTATCCCTGACTTAATGGCATGATAATTGTACTCTTACTGGATCAATAAAACTTCTAAGGAAATCAAACTTTTTATATGTGAGCCATTTGAATAAGATACTGTTCACTTAAATGCAAGTAGCATTTTTTTTTTCCTTTTTAAAATATAATATTCGTATTTCAAGTTAGAAGTGGGAAGAAATCTCTGGGCATTCTGGTAAACTTCGTGGAGATTGTGGCTAAGATCAATAACTTCATGACGTGGAGGGAGTTTTACCTGTTTTTGGCATTTAACCTGAGTTGTACCTGATGTGAAAGGATATCAGCAATAAAGAAGGTGTTGTTTTTAAAAAAAAAAAAAAAAAAATGAACAGCTCTAAATAAGATGAATTTTCACTCAATGCACTATCCTGTACACTTGACTAATTATTCCCAGTTGATTTACATGTATGTGTACAGCCTGTGGGGAGACTCAGAATTTGTTCAATGGACAGATTAAAAAATCACAAGGCTTACACTGGTGACTTAATAGACCCTATGCTGTACATTCAAAACAATTGGAAACATGAGATTTTATGCCGGCAATTATGTTGGATGCCTCAAACCTATCACTGTTTAGAGGGATATCTGAGCAATCATTTCACTTATTCTCAAAGTATCAAAGTATTTTGGGATATATGTGAAATGATGTTATGCAACAAAAATGCAGATTTACTTCCTATTCCATTTGTGTTTCTCTGTTAAATCTGCAGGATAATGGCTACGCTGATCAGATCACTTCTTGTAGTATTTTATGCAAATACATGAACGTGCCTCAGAGCTGTTGGTCATGAAACATACCCTGTCTTCATTAGGTTAGTTTGGAGGTTAAGGCATCTCAAACGTTTGAGCAACAATGGAAGCTACTTGACTTACAAAGCTGTAATGCAGTAACACTGCATGATGTTCATGACTAACAGGAAGCTGTCTTCAAATCAGAATGTGTTTTGCCTATCTCTCAAATAATTCAATGTGGTATATGCATTTCAGTGCAAGTGTGATGCCAGGTATGTAGGCTCTATGTCCCAAAGTCCAGAAGATCGTATCAAATAGCATATCTCTTTGGCTGTTTGGAGTAAGCGAAGCACTGACCATGTTTGACTGAGTTATTCTTGCAGAACTCCAATACAGTGAGTAACATTAGATGTGATTCTGCAGTTGGACAGCATTTGCAAAATAATCCTACGTACAAAGAATTATGTTAGCAACCAGTTTAGGATCAGTGGAGCCTGTAGTATGCATGCTGCAAGCCAGATCCTCATGTTCAGAGTCCTGCCTTTTGTAAACAGAAAAATGTACACGCATTGCCTGTTTCAACTCACTAACATAGGTGACAGTCACTTCTCAGGGCAATGCCTTAGCCAATCAAAGCCAAACTGCCCATTTTGAAATTTTAAAAACTTGGGGGATAACTTTTTCAGTTATCATCCAACTGATATATTAGCAATGGCAGTGCCTCTATAAATCAATCCATTTAGCAACCAACCAGCAATCTCTTCCTATTGGCAAGTGTCAATGATTTTTTTTCTCTTTATGTTGGTACTCTTGCAAATTGTCATGATGAATGTAAAACAATCTTTGAAACATCCCTTCTTAACAGCAATGCTCAAGACTAATTCAGCGATTCTTTTTTCTGAAGGATGTATAGTTGATAGGATAAAGGAAGACATTGTAAACTTGGTAGTGAATGGGCTAAATAATAGAAACAGGTATTGATTATAATTAGACAGCTATGACCTCTAAAGACCGAACCAAGTGTCAGTTCTGGATCCTGTTTCTGATTATGTATTGTCTGCTAACAGTATTTTCAACAAATGTAACTTGCAGTCAATCCTATATTTCTTTGGAAAGTTAAAGATTGAGGGAAGGGCATTGTTCAGATACTGATTAGTGTATCATGTTTAAGAAACTCCATATATTAGAGTGGTGCAAAAGTTTGGATAAAATAGTTGGATTGAAGGTAGTCAGTAATGTGCTGAGTGGTTTTTCCATCTGATTTTTAATTTACTTCATTCAGCAGAGTAAATTGCAGGCAGAAAACTCTCCAAAGACCTTTTCCAGATATGTCATTTGTGCTGGCATTTGGGAGTTGTGAAAACACTCCTGATAATTTTGGTATTGTGAATTTTCTGACTGTGGAACCTAACCTATCCAACAGTGTGGCTAAATTGAAAATTTACTGTGCAGAGAATTGCATTCCTCTCACACCTCTTCTGACAACTGTACATCAGAGATATTGCCTAACCATCATTGAGATGTTTGTGCTACTGCTTGAATTGTGGAAGCATGCATAGTGTATGCGTAGAATGTAGTTCATCTTTATTCAATGTGTCTTCATCTTCAGAATTAAAACACTAATATGCTAAAGCTGCTTCAGTTGATAAACCTGTAAAACTGGTCTGACCCTCCACTGCGTTGCTGAATCTTTGTTTTAGTTCCGTGAAATGGATTTAATTTTTAAGCCACAGACTTGCTGCTGTAGTGCTTTATTTTGGGCAAAGCAGAGAGGCATTTGCCACCATACAGAAATAAAATTGCTTTCCTTGTGTCTCAGTTTATAGTACTTAACCTTCACGAGCTTATTCTGATACCTTCTGAACTGTGGAGCCTGCAGGAATGACCCCTGTTGAAGTCCACAGCAGGTAAGGCAGAGGAGCCTTTTAGGCCAACTTTTATTGTCCATCCTTACTTGCCTTTGAGATGTGGTTGGTGAGCTGTTGCTTTAAGCTTGAGGTATATGGCTATACAGTACTGTTGAGGAGTTCCAGCAGTTTGACCCAGTGATTATATTTCCACATCATGATGGTGTGTGACTTGGAGAGAAACCTGCAGATGATAATGTTCTCATGTATCTGCTGACCATGTCCTTTTTAGATGGTTGAGGTTGCAGGTTTGAAAAATGCTTTCCATGGAGCTTTCTTTAGTTGTCCTTGTGCATTATGTAGGTCGAAAACACTGCCACTGTACATAAATGGAAACTTTGTGCTGGATGGTGTTCAGTTTCTTGAATGTTGTTGGAGCTGCACTTAAGTGGAGGGTAGTCTTCACACTCCTGACTTGTGCCTTGGAGATTTTGAACAGGCTTTGGGATTCCCTCGCCCTCTGGTGTAGATTAACAGTTGTATCCTTTTGTGCTCAGTTAGTATTGGTGCTAATGAGCCACTCTTGGTGATAGACGTGGAAATCTCCATCCAGAGTGCATTCTATGCCCTTGCCAGCCCCAGTGCTTCATTTAAGTGTGCTCACTGTGGGGGAATACTGATTCATCAATTGAGTAGGGTGTTAGGCAACGCAGCCTCCTGTTGATTACCACCTATATTTGACCTGATGTCATGAGGTTTCATTGGGTCTGAAGTCAGTGCTGGTGACTCCCAGTGCAACACCCTTCGGGCTCTATATTACTGTACTGCCACTTCTGGTGGGTCTGTGCTGCTAGTGGGGCAGCCATTGAGGTACCATAATGGGGCATAGTCTCCAAATCATGCTTTGGCGACAATGACCATGTTGGGCTGTTATCTGTGTTAATACTAAATTTGGCAGAAGTCCCCAGAAGGGGACCTTGCAGATTTGGGAGGTCCGGGTTTGCTATTATCATTTCTGATGCTTAAGTTGATGGAGTGGTCAGTCTGATTTCATTTCTTTGTTTAGATTTTGCAGTGGTTTTGATGTAACAAAGTGGTGTGCTAGGCCATTTCAGAACACAGTTGAGAATCGGCCATGTATAGGCAAGACTACATTAGGATGGCGTGTTTTCTTTGCAGAACAACTTTTGCAGAGGTAGAGAGTCGGTTGCTGCTAAGAAGCAAGAAAAAACCTATGGGTCTAACAGAGAAATTAGATGTTCTGAAGTGTCTTAATGCCAGAGAATGAGAAGTTAGTATTGCTAAAGTTCTTGGGCTACACCTCACAACATTGAGAATCAGCTGTGATAACACTGACAAAATGCAAGCGTGCAAAATTTTACACCTTTAGTGCTGGCAGTGAGCAGCAGCAAGCTGGAGCATATGGTAAATGTCTTGGCAGTTTGAATTGAAGATCAAAATCAGAAGAAAGTGTCACTTACGTTGTTGGGTATTTATTATTGGTGGTATTATTTAAAACAGGCTGTCAGAGAGGGAGCTAGATTCATTGGAGCTGATTTGAATTGGTTCTTGGGAGAGTTTGTCACTGGTAAGTAAAGATATTTTCTACTTGAAGTTTTTACATAGTATCCAATTGATGGTCAAGTTTTAAAACAAAGCAAAACCAAGATTCAGTGAATAATATAATTTAAACTTAGTTAAAACTCGTGAAGGATAGCCCTTGGGTTATGTATTTAGAGTACAGAACGTGGAAGCTCCTGAATACTATTGTAATCCAGAGCAAACACATCTTCAGCAAGCGTCTGACATTTGAGCAGTTTCAGCTTAAGAGTTTTGAACTGGAAACTGAACGAAAGGCAGTATGGTGCATCAGGGAGGAGAAAAGTTACCTGGATTCTTTGTACCAGGTAATTCTCTCAGCAGTGAGCAATAGGGTCTTCTGATTTGGTCAGGGATGGGAAGGTGTGTCTACGAAACAGCTAAGGAGGCCCAGAGTGCAGGATTGTCAACCTTTCCAATCATCTAATAGGTTTGAGATTCTCTCTAGATGAGAATGGAGCTGCATGGTGAATGAGCAAACTGACCGTGGCACAGGAAGGCATTCAAGTGGAGGGGAGCAACAAGAATGTAGTGCACTATATAATGAGGGGAATTGACACTATGCTCTGCAACATGTTGAGTGTCCAGCTAACGTTGTTATCAACCCAATACCAGGGTTCAGAACATCTGTTCAGAGTTGGAAAGGGACTTGAAATCAAAGAAGT